AGAGCAAACTACCCCCCCCCCCCTCCCCTATATGTATGCGCATGAGGTCACTCATGGGTGCATTCATGGACGATGTTTGTCGCTTTAATTTAGAGGCAGAGCTATAGCTATATAGACAACAAATCAACAATCACTATTCGCTACTGCAGGATAATGTTTTGATTTGATCTTGTCACCCACCCAAATTAATACTGCACAGTAACTAAACTATGGAGGAGAGTACCAGCCTAGCTAATCAATTAAACGATATCCAACAACACAATGCTTCAATCGCATGCATGTTGCCGATCTATCAGAGAGGCGCTCGATCGGCGGCCTCGCATGCGTAAGTGCAGTGTGGCAGCAGCAGCACGTACTGCTTGCGAATGGATCACACTGTGCGTGCGTGCAGAGTATGCTGCAGGCAGAGATCAATAAAAGAGCGTGCTAGCTAGCTAGCGCGCATGCACGGGAAAGACCGAGAAATCAAAGGCGCTGGCCGGGCGGTGATGATAATTGATAATGATATTGATACGGATGCGAGCGCACTGTGTGTGTCTCGTTGCAACAGGGGGCCAGCGGCCATGCTTGCAGCGATCGATCGATCGATGGGATGAGACATGGAGGCATGGGACGAGAGAGAGGGGTTGGGTAGGCACCGGCGCACCGCGCGAGATACGTTTACACAGGCACAACCGCTGATCAGGGAAAGCAGATGGATATATCACTTGCATCGCGTGTTTGCAATGCAAATGCATATGCAGTGATCACGGAGAGAGAGAGAGAGAGTCCAAGTAGTGAAGGCTGCAGCTAGCACGGGATACTATACGGGCTATATATCTAGCTTGATACAGGGGGCGTCACAGCTAGGTATACAGAGCTCACATTTGCGTTATCTTGCTGCAGACTTGCAGGAGGAATGGGAGAGGAAGATGCAGTGATAAATAGCAGTTACAATAGCAGGCTATTAGCCAGTTGTAAACATATTTTAATGAGATAAAAGATGAGAGAGAAGAGCAGCGGGCTACAGATCTATAGCCAGCTACAGCACGTACTTCAAGATACAATGTGTGTATGACATGTGGGACCATATATTAATAGTATAGTAAGCAACTATTGTATAAATTGACTATTAGATTGGCTATATATAAATTGAAGCTAATAGTGGGCTATACTATTAAACTTGCTCTAAAACGGCCGTTTGATTCAGGCGAGGCCGGCCGATGCCAGTGCCACCGATGAATTTGGGGATCGCGAGAGATTGATGAGGAGGGCGAGATGGGCTTAACTGTGGCCCGCGTGGGCGTGGCCGCGAGGGCGATCATATCATATCATCGCGGTGGCTGATCGATCTCTCGCTAGCTAGCTGCTCGTGCTAGTAGATGGTGACCGAGACGCGCCTGCCCGCCACCACCACGTGTCTGACAGCTGTACGGACGGTGTAGCCGCCCATCACCCCCACATTGCGTTCTCGTTTATTTTGACCGGACGAGAGGGTCCCCCTAGCTTATCCTTGACCGCACGTGACGGTGATCTAGCTAGCTCTTGCAGCTACGAGGCTCGATATCGGTCCAACGGAGTCCTGCCAGATCGGTGCAGTAGTACTTTTTCTTCGCGTGCGTACTACGGAGAAAATCAAATGTACATATATAATCATTTCATCCTAAAATAAACAAATCTAAAATACAATGCGATGTAGTAGTACTATTTGAAGTATAAATCTGTTTGTTTCGGCTGATTTGGGATGAATCGGAATGGCGATGCATGGCTTTAATTTTACCACAATACCACCGTGTATATAGATGGATGGATTCATCTTCATATATACTAGTACTGTGGAGTATCATATGACCGAGTTAATTTATGTGCTCCGATCCAGTAACCAATTGGTTATTTAATTTAGGATCTAATTGATGCTAGAAGTGCTGACATGCACGCGTGACATGGCACTGTGCACAGCGCTTTCTTTAATTTCATGGTGCCAGGTCTGCACCAATTAACTACATGCAGCTATATACTATCTCCGTCCCAAAATAAATGCAGCCGTAGAAATCCGTGTCCAACGTTTAACCGTCCGTTTTATTTGAAAAGTTTATAAAAAAATTTTAAAAAATAGTTACACATAAAGTACTATTCATGTTTTATTATCTAATAACAATAAAAATATTAATCATAAAAATATTTCAAATAAGATGAACAGTCAAATGTTGAACATGAATAGTGTAAAACTGCATTTAATTTAGACGGAGAGAGTAACTCATTCTTAAAAAAAACTGTGAAAAAGAATAATACAACTGCTAGAGGTATCCATTTGTTGACATGATATGTTATGGTACCGATCACTTTCAAGAAGATGGTTAATTAATTACGTCTGCACCGATGGCTGTTTTAATTTAGGGCAAAGTGGCAAAACTGATCTATAATTGATGCTACAGCTATTGTAACTAGCAGCCGAGAAGTTCTGACATGCATGCACGCGTGACATGGCACTGTGCACCGTGCAGAAATGCTTTTTAAAAATAAAAAATAAATCATGATGCATGCTAGGCCAGGTATATGTACCAGGTGCATATAAGAGCAAGTTTAATAGTATAACCAACTACTAGCTCTAAATCATCTATAGCCAATATAATAGCCAATTTATACAATAGTTGTTTACTATAGTATTAATACCTGGTTCTATCTATCATACACACATTACGTCTTGAAGTCCGTGCTGCATCTGGCTACAGATTTGTAGCCCGCTACTTTTCTCTCTCTTCATTTATCTCTTTAAAATATGTTTATAGCTAGCTTATAACCTGCTATTGTACCTGCTCTAATGCAATCAATAGTTAGCTGGTCAACAGTTAAACGATCTCAAGATATCATGATCTCTTGTCTTTTAAGAATTACTCCGAACAAAAGAGATTCAACTTAAGAGTGTCCAGCGCGTGTTTGTGGTACCTGCGTTTAGAGTCAAAATTTAGAAATTACTAGTAACATGCTTACTCCAGTATGTTACTATACGGCCGCTGTCAAAAAAAGATGGTTAATTAATTGGTGTATCAAAGTCAACATGTGTACTGGCCCATGCACGTAAAAAACGGGGAAAAAACTGGCCGACCGAAAGACGTACTCGCCTTTGGATTTCAACCTGTTTTGTTGCGTGCTAGCTCCTCCCTTTTTTATATGCTCGTGTAGCTTTCATTGACATATACACCATTCATGTCTCCACTCTGCTAATCTGTGGCGACGATCATTAAGTCACTGTTCGTGATTGCGCGGCACTAAACTAATACCGCTGCGTCTCGAGATCCAGCCAATCAGGCCGTGGTCATTCAAATTTGTTTGCTCTCTCTCATGCGTCACATGACAATGACCCGTAATCCGCTATTAAAAATTAATTGAACACTTGAGAGCATACGCAAAGCGACAAGGTTATCTTGGCTTCTCCACGCCGAGAAAAGCCTGGTCACAAATTGCAAAACTCAAGTTTTCGCCCAGCTCGTTTGATTAATTTCCAGTTCCTGAATGGGACCTCTCACCAAACCGGACCTATCCATGCATGCCACATGCCAGTATTTGGGCGCAGCCGATAATACCTCGAGTCGTCCTTGATTAGTTGAGAAACCACTTCATTTCTAAAGTTATCCAATCTTGGAATTGTGAACAGCTGCTTGTACCCATGTTGAAATATTTCCAAACGTAAGCCGATTTCTTATCCTAAACAGGCTCTAGTACATGCAGTTTGGTTTAACGGAACATATCAAGGCTAGCTCTAGAAGCTTGCGATACACAGCGCATGTATATAATCGTTGGACAATTACGTACGTACAGTGCTCCAAATGGGGGCCAAAACGGCTGCGTTCTTTCCACAAGTTTCCCAACCCCTTTCCATCGTTTTCCGCGTGCACGCTTTTCAAACTGTTAAATGGTGTGTTTTTTTGCAAAAAGTTTCTATACGAAAGTTACTTTAAAAAAACAAATTAATCCATTTTTAAAAAAAATTAACTAATACTTAATTAATCACACGCTAATGGACCGCTCCGTTTTCCGTGCGGTGGAGTTGGGTTCCCAACCCCAAGTATCAAACACAGCCTATACTAGTACTAAACGAACCCAATACTCTTGGATATGATCGAATGAAAAAGCCTTCATGCGAAACCTAGCTACTCCTATTTTATACGCGTCCTAGCTGCAACCCCATACTATATAGTATAATTAAACTACATATATATAAACCGGGCAGATTTTTTTTAATATAAAAAAGCTTCACAAATCAGGACCGGTTCGTAGGTTTTCAAGTAGTAGCAGGAAGGAAGCGTACGTTGCATACATACTTCCTCCGTCATAAAAAAAAAAAAGACAAACTCTAGTTTACGTGTCCATCGTTTGATCGTCCGTCTTATTTAAAAAAATTATAAAAAAAATTAGAAAGACAAGTCACGTATAAAATATTAATTATGTTTTATCATCTAACAACAATAAAAATACGAATTATAAAAAAAATTATATAAGACGGCCAGTTAAAGTTGGACACGGAGACCAGGTTTTGTCTTTTTTTATTTTTTTTTTGACGGAGGGAGTATGCAGGTCCCGTGTAGTATTATCTTATGCGGATTGCTTGTACTTGCCCGGGTGTATATAAAAATCACCGGTACAGTAAAAAGCGACGACCCAATTGTTTAACACGCCTTGTAGGTCCAATTATTTGCTTGCTTGTCTGCCTACTGTCCAGTGACTGACCGAGCCCTGCACACCCTACGTGACAGCACCACTACCCTCGACTTGGCACCGATCGATCGGTGCATGCACATGCACCGCGCTGCCGCTACCGCGCACGCATTTGGGCGGCCGCCTGCGCGCGAGAGCAACGGCGCGCCCGCGAATTTCACGACGACCCGCGTCGACCACGACGTCGTGGGCGAACGCGTCGCGTGCAGCTGCAGTGCGGGCGCGTCCCGTGGGCGCGCGCGGGGGAGGGAGACGTACTCCACGTTTTTTATGTTCAACGAACGCGACAAACGAGTCCACGGCGCGGCGGGCGCCTCGTTCGCTCGCTTTGGCGTACGTGGCCTCTGCTACTTCGGGTTGCCCCCACACGCGCGCGCGCGCGGTGGCCTGGCCTGGGCGGGGCAGGCCGGCCTTTCCGTTCCCCGAGCGAGCGAGCTGCTAGTAAAAACCGGGGAGTTGGTGTGGGTGGGATTGGCATTGTATCGTGAGAGAGATTGATAGAGAGAGAGGCGGACCTCCCTGACCTTATCGGCAGCGCCATCCCATCCCTTGCCGTCCCCCCAAGAGCTCACCCCTCCGCCTCGCTTCTTCATCTCCTCTCCTTTAATTCGGCCCCGCGCCGCCCGCTTCACCCCCATCCTACACCGCGTGCCTCCTTACCTTCTCTTTGTTGGAATAACGATCGTTTCGCTTGCTGCTCCGGGGAGGTTTTTCTTGGGCGATCGATCGGCTGGGCAGGTTCGTCGGAGGGAGGTTTCTGCCGCGCGCCGCCGGGGTGTCGACGTGTCGAGCGGTGCGTGGAGGAGGAGAAGCGTGCGGCGGAGGTAAGGAAAACATGCTAGCTACAGCGATCGATCGTTTTGAGAGCTTCATCATTGCTGGGTAGCTTAGCTATGCTAGCTAGAGCTAGCTGCTAGATGTGTGGACAAGTCAAAGGCCAAAGCTTTGCTGTTGATGAAAAGATCTCCCATTTCGCTTTGGTTGCTTTGCTTTGCTTCGCTGTTTGGGTTTGGGCTGCACTACTGTGCCATGCAAATTACTTCGAGATTCTTTACAAGGGGCTTAATCTCGCTTTGTCTTGGCAGGTTGTGGTGGTGATGGTGAGGAGCGAGTTGTAGAGGAGGAGGGGCACCGATCAACCGGGAAGCTGGCGGCCGGGAAGTGGTGGGAGCGGCCAGATGACACGGCCATGGCCGGGATGGACCCTGGCGGGGGCGGCGCCGGCGCCGGCAGCTCACGGTACTTCCACCATCTGCTCCGACCGCAGCAGCCGTCGCCGCTGTCACCGCTGTCGCCGACATCCCATGTCAAGATGGAGCACTCCAAGATGTCACCCGACAAGAGCCCCGTGGGCGAGGGAGATCACGCGGGAGGGAGTGGAAGCGGCGGCGTCGGCGGTGACCACCAGCCGTCGTCGTCGGCCATGGTGCCCGTCGAGGGTGGCAGCGGCAGCGCCGGCGGTAGTGGCTCGGGTGGGCCGACGCGGCGCCCGCGCGGGCGCCCGCCCGGGTCCAAGAACAAGCCGAAGCCGCCCATCATCGTGACGCGCGACAGCCCGAACGCGCTGCACTCGCACGTGCTCGAGGTCGCCGGCGGCGCCGACGTCGTCGACTGCGTGGCCGAGTACGCCCGCCGCCGAGGGCGCGGCGTGTGCGTGCTGAGCGGCGGCGGCGCCGTCGTCAACGTGGCGCTGCGGCAGCCGGGCGCGTCGCCGCCGGGCAGCATGGTGGCCACGCTGCGGGGCCGGTTCGAGATCCTATCTCTCACGGGCACGGTCCTGCCGCCTCCCGCGCCACCCGGCGCGAGCGGCCTCACCGTGTTCCTCTCCGGCGGCCAGGGCCAGGTGATCGGCGGCAGCGTGGTGGGCCCGCTGGTCGCCGCGGGGCCCGTCGTCCTGATGGCGGCCTCATTCGCGAACGCCGTGTACGAGCGGCTGCCGCTGGAGGGCGAGGAAGAGGAGGTCGCCGCGCCCGCCGCCGGAGGCGAAGCACAAGATCAAGTGGCACAATCAGCTGGACCCCCAGGGCAGCAACCGGCGGCGTCACAGTCCTCCGGCGTGACAGGAGGCGACGGCACCGGCGGCGCCGGTGGCATGTCGCTCTACAACCTCGCCGGGAATGTGGGAGGCTATCAGCTCCCCGGAGACAACTTCGGAGGTTGGAGCGGCGCCGGCGCCGGCGGAGTCAGGCCACCGTTCTGACCCATGTCTTAGCATCCAGTTCAAAAATTCTCCAAATTAAGAATTGCGCAGTGCAGAAGCCATAGCAATCCAATGCAGATATGCAAGCTAAGCTAATGGTACAAAATTGCGACATGCATGTTGGATTGTTGATTGGACGATCGACAGGCCTTTGTACTGGGTGCAACATACGTATGCATCTATCATGCATGCGTTGCAAATTAAGATTTCAATTCATATTCATGAGGAGGTTTATCATATACACATATTTTAACATCTGTGGGGGCAAGAAGCTAGAGGAGAGTTGCAAGAGCAAGCTCGGAATAAACCAAAGGTCAGTGAGATTATCCAATGTTTTGTGTTTAATTCTACCAAGTGTTTTTTTTTCATTTTTTTCTCTTTTGCATTCTGTAATATGGTACTATCCTATTCTAGTTTGTATCTTTTGATCGGTAGAACCATGTTTCTGAAAAACTCTTGTTCCCTTTTTTCAACCTCTGAAACATGTGCAACACCAGAACTGTCTTATGGTCACTTTCACTGGTCTGAATTCAAGCTCACGATTTGGTGGCGTTGAATATTATTTTTTATTTTTATTTTTTGTTTTGGAACCAGATGGTGATATTGAATGGTTCTCGACCTGGTCAAAATTTCGAACCCTAGCTAAGCTAGGTCGATCTGAAGCATGCATTTTGAACACCATTTTTTTTGCAAGAAAGTAGGAGTAGTAGTATACTCCTAGCTTAAAGTTTGCTCTCAACAAATTCAGGATAGTATACGATCAAGTACTGTACTATCCTGTGCTTAATTTTGGCGTTCTTGTACTGCTACTCCTACTATACTGTACTGTACTTAGTTTTGGCATTCAGTATATAGGTCCAGAAGGAACCAGCCACCAGGAGGCAGGAGCCTTCTGCCCTCCCTCTTTTTGTTTCACCTGCAGCTTTTATAATGGCCTCTGAATCTCTGACATCTTCAGTCATGTTTTTGGCGTTTCATTGCTTGGAATTATATGTGTGATTGAATACTGTAGTATATATAGCAATACTTAAGACTGTGTCTAGGTGAGGTTCCGTTTAACCAACAGGCAAAGCTGTAGCAAGGCAGTGGCAGTGAGGTTCCGTTTAACCAGCAGGGCAGAGCTGCAAAATCTGGAAAGCTGCTGGCCATGAGATGCCAAGCCCAAAATTGACACTAGCTGCAAGATTCTCACCATCTGCTATGGTACTTGTACTATCATGCATCTTGCATTCTCGAAGTACAAATCTGGAAATAGGGTCTCGGTCCCTTAATGGGAAATAAAGAGGAGAGGGACGTTTCACACTTTCGCATAATTTGTGGGGGGAGAGAGAAGGCCCAGAGCTTTGGAACTTGCTCATAGCTTTGCAACCTTTGTCCTCTCGGAGTCCTGGAGATCAGATGCCAGAGCATCCCCACACCAATATCTGGTGGTCAAGCCTCTCCAAATCCGGGATACTAAGCTAGTGCCATACTGTCATAGTATCTCTCCCCCCTTTATTTGGAGCATCATCATGTCCATTTGTTCAGTACACTTTAGTTTTCAGATGTCGATGTGTTCAGCCACCTTTCCAAAGCAACTGTTTAGATTATGAAGTATATTTTCTGAATTAAATTAGCTGGAGTAATCCAAACCAGCACAAGTGTTAATTAAGTTTTTGCACCCATGCATGCATAGCACTAGCTTGTTGGCATTATATATCTTTCAATGTTACTAGCTAGCTAGTACTATATGCGAGTTATAGTAGACATGATTTGGTCTCTAATTGGATATATTATTAATGAAATGCAAGTTGCGAAAGGAAAACTTAAGACGAGGTCTAACCGTCTAATAGTACTAGCTAAGTGCTAATAACAGTGCATATATATTAGGGTAAATTGTATTAGCATGCACCTTGTCTCTAGTTGGGTGCTGCCATCTACAAGACTACAACTAAATCTTGTGGAATTCCATTGAGTGGCATTGGATGTTGTGTCATCTACAACTAAATCTTGCAGCAAGCGAGCAAACTGTATTTGCTATTGTCTAGAGGCCTAGTATTCAGATTAAACATAAAATATCGATGCAGAACATGCAAAAACAGGATTAAAATATGCAGTCGGCAATAGTTCAACCTACATTCATCTTATGAATGATAACTGTACCTTGCAACTTTGCCTTAAACAGAATATTTTTGTGATGAATGAAATACTTAACTTGGTGGTTAAAAAACCACTATATATTATTGTTTGTTCACCATAATGCCGGCCGTTTATTTGCTTGGTAATGGGTGGTAGTGATAATCATGTGGATTAATTTTTAATTTTCATGGCTTTAATCAGCTTATGTTTTAAAGAGATGATCATACTAAATAATGTACTGTTTCACCTGATTTGATCCCGTTAATTTATATAGAGTTTTGTTAACATTTCTATGTTATTTGTTCCCGGTACATTGACAATAATGTAAGACTAAGATCTTGCTCGATTTTCTACCTGATGATGCACCTCTTATGACTTCTTTCGTCAAGAAGGCCTTTGTCAAATCACATTGGAGTCAAGCATCAGATTGCCAAGTTTTCCTAATTTGGTCCTATATATACATGTTGTTCTCTATATTATGGTACATTAAATTTGAAAGAAACTAAAGGAACTTAGTAGCAAGGGCAGATCCAGAATAAGACTATAGGGGGGACTTATCTTCTAAGAACTAGCTTGGGATTTCATGGTTGCTGAAGCTAGTCTCTTTTCTTTTACTAGAAAAAATGCCCATGCGTTGCAATGGGTAAAAATATTTTTTATCGCCTATACATTATACTCCTTATTTGGTTTTGGACCGAAAGCCCATTATTTTCTTCCTTTTCAGCCCTATCGTCTTCAACCTCCGGAAGTGCATGTACGATACCGGAGCCGATCCTCCCATCAAATTCGGTCGAATCTTTCACGATGGGTTAGTTGAGGGTTTTTATCCACTCGATCTCCTCTTTTCCTTTTTAAAAAATGGAGCAATCCACAAAACTCAGAATAAAAATAGTGATTGAGATTAAATCCGGTGAATTAAAGACGAATTTTAAGGAGAAATCAAGGGGAAAATGATGAGGGAGTTGTGGGGAATCAATTTTTGCAATCAATTAGAGGAGGAAACGCATAGAGGGATAGATCAACGTGGCGGCTGAGCTAGGGTTCAGCCCGACGACAGAAGAAAACCTAGTTGATAAAAAAACGAATCCTTACCGCATGCGAAAAAACGTAATGTAAAAAAATTGGGATGAAAAAAAAGCGTGCCAAAAAGACCGCGATGTAAAAAAAAGTGGATGAAAAAAACCCTGAAAAAATGGCAAAAAAACATGTGAAGAGAAAACTGCGATGAAAAAAGTAGATGAAAAAAAAGCGGGGGGATCGGCGAAATAATACGGATGGAAAAATACCGAGAAGCCTTATGTATCTTTTTATTAGCCTTATGTATATTTTATTATGTATTTTTTTATTAGGTATATAGAGATATATATTTGTTAGCATCATGCGGTTCTAATACATGCACAGATAAACCAATACAATTTTTCTTTATCTTTATATGCGATGACAAGATGAGTGGAGTTGGATGGATAAATTTGTTATGGAGGAGGCATAATAGGAATAGGGGAGGAAATAAATTGAAGGTGAAGTAGATCTTAGCGTGACACTCGGTGCAACCTAGCTTCCAGCTAAGTTAGCTAGCTCCCAACTGTAACATGGACATTGTTTTTTTTAAAAAAAATCATTTCCTAGAAAACTAACAAAACAAGAAATTTTGTGCACTCACTGGGTAATGGATAATGTGAGCCAGATGACTCTGGTAGAGAAACCATCTTTGCTCGATCGGTCAAATTCCACAATAGTTCTGGTTCTAATAAAACCTGGGATTAAAAAGTATCTTTAGTTCCAGTTTAAAAGTTGAGGGGTACTTTTTGATCTTTAGTAGATCATTTTTAGTCTCGGTTTAAGAAGTTGTTGAGTTCAAGACAGACCCCGATTATTTTTACTCCCGGTTGGTATAAACAACCGGGGACTACAAATAGATCTTTAGTCCCGGTTGTTTATACCAACCGGGAGCAAAGAGTACCCCGAGCCGTGCACCATCTCGATATTATCCGCGCGTCTCCTCTCGATTTCCTCCCCTCTTAATATCTCCTCCTCCATCCCTTCCTCTCCCCTTCATTCCCTTCCTCACCCGTTCCTCCCCTTCCCCTCTATTTTGTGATGTGATGTATTTGTGATCTCTGATGTATTTCTTTTCAATCTGTGATGCATTTCTTTCCAGATCTGTGATGCTATGATTTGTGGATGATTTGGGGATATATAGGGAGCAGATCAATTTGAGCAAAGAAACAAAAAAAAAAAGAAAAAAACTAGGGATCAACCGGACTGCTTCCACCATTACCAACTGGGATTAAAGATACCCGGATTTATAGTTCCGGTTGTATAGGGGGTTCCCAACTAGGATTAAAGCCCCTTTTTCCACTAGGGTGAGGTACGTTTCGTAGGGTCTAAAATTTCAGCAACGCTATATCAACGCACGTACGTACAGGTAGCCTAGCTACCCGGCCATTACCCAGTGAGCACACAAAATTTATCATGCCCAGATGATCAGGCGTACGATGGGAAGAAGAGGAAGACTGGAAGAGGAAAGTAGGAACTTACCGCGTGTACTGCTGCCCGCCCAGATGATCAGGCGTACGCTGCGGGCGCAGGTACGGAAACTCCCTCCCCCAGAACGTACGCCGGGCCTTCCGCCGTGCAGCTTGCCGCTACCGCGACGAGATGCGTCGCACACTCGCACGCGCCCGCCGCGCCGGGATGCCTGGTATAGTTGTACGGTGGGCGGCCGCCGGCCGGCGCTGCGCAATCACGCAGAAATCCGGTCGGTTAGATTTTGTAGGGGGCACCGGCCGGTGTCCGGTGGCCAAGGGCTAAAGCCAGTAGAGGCCGCGATATGATCTGGGCTGAGCGTACCCAGCCTGCGAGCCCTGTAACATAGGCTGGCTGGGCCGCACAGGTAGTTGGGCCGTGAAGGTGAAGAGAAGATGTCCATGCAGAGGCCTCTGATAGCCCCGCAAGCAGGTGTACACTGTTACATACATGTCTAGACTCTAGAGATGGCAACAGGGTGCTATGACCCGACACCTGACTGGTTTTTACTCTATTAGAAGCTAATTATCTATTATATGCTAATTATGTTTTAACTCTTATACCCATGAGTTTACCGACGGGCGAAAATTCTTACCTATTAGGTACATGGGTATGGGTCTATTCTTTATCTACTCGTACCTACCAACCCGAGGGTGAAAAAACCTGTAGATTAAGCCTAAATCCATGAGTAACATAAAACTTCTTTCTTATCTTAAGTTCTATTCTAGTTATATGAAATTATTATTTGATTTCTTGATTATGTAATATGGTTGTAGATTTTTTTTACTCGACTTTGAGCGCTAATGTTAATAGCATTGTTGCCAGAAGAATTATTGATGGGTTACGGTTCAAAAATAGCTAATTATAGAACAAAACTATAAATGGTATGAGTCAATTATATGGGTATGGGTACCCGTTACCTGCACGGGAG